ACGAACGATTCACGTGCCTCGTACCCCAACTGTCCTTCTCTATCTCTGTCTGCAATTCAATTACATTGTTGCCGTCAGTTCTTGGCGGTCTTATATACAAGAATACCGTACATCTAGTAAACACTCGAGGCTTCACGAAAGGACATGATTTTTCTAGAAGTTCATGACTTGTTACTAGGGTCACGTGACTTCCGCTGTCGTAACAGTTTCAAAAAATTTTGAATTTAACACTCGTGCTTATAACTATCTAAATCATAACTTTCGTATTAAATTTAAATGAAACAGTCGTGTATATCTCACAGATTTCAAAGTAAAGATTCAATCAAATTAAGAATGAAAAACATAAATTGACATGTTGATTAGTTTTTTCTCAAATACCGTGTATAATCTTACAACTGAGCTTTTCCTATAATATAGAGCGAAATCTATATTTCCGGTGCAAAAGAAGAAAGTGATAGCATTCAGTTGTACTCTTCAGAAAAATTATTTCTTTAAGAAAAAACAAACTAAGCTTAAAGTTTCTGTTTTTGTGTTTCTCTTTTCTTGATAAATGAAATGCAATTTTAAAATTAATAAATTTTCCTTTTCTACTATAAATAAGGCAAATCTCAATGTAGTATAATCAACTGAGTGTTGCTGTGTAACGTTATCTACACTATGAACAGCCAGAAGTGGCGAATAAAAGGTGGAAAATTTTCTTCGACTTTACGATATCACCCGTATATCTGGAATATAAGGACACTTTAAAAAAGCAAGACATCCGAAACACCAAAGAAAATAAGCTGAACATGTCAGGTAAAAATATTCGCATTTGATTAGATTTTAAGTGCAAACAGAATACAGGCAAATAGCCTACTGCATTTTACTAAAGGCTTTATATAGTGCAATTATAAAATAATTATAATATAATGTAATGTGTAATATATAACGTTTAATAATGTAAATATATTATAATTAGTTAAAATACGACATTTTGCTTGTGCAGGGAAACGACGCATATCAATAAAAGGTAGGCACACAAACAAAGTATACACAAATATATTTAATATTTATTTGTTGACAGCCTTGACTAATCAATCTATTTGTGTATTTATGCATTTTTGTTGACTTTTTTATTTTTTAGTACCCTTGTTGGTTGATTAACACTATTTAATTTCTTATTATTAACACCTGCCACACGAGCCAGCCTAACATCTTGATATGGATCCAAGAAAATAAGTCTTTGGGTTGTCTTGAGTAGACAAAAAGAAGATGCTTGACATTATTTTCGAGGTCTAGATAACTGGACCAGACTCGTGACCTGACACGAGACTATTAGAACCAATATGGAAAAGTTAACTTGTAAATGTAAAGTAAAACAATGTACCACGCTTGAAATGTTCTAGATGTTGTTGTGAATGTGATGGTTTAAGTGTAGCGATTAAAATAAACCGTGGGTCCAGGTCAGATAAGGGAAGAACTTATTCGAAGATATTCTAATCGATTTGACATACCAGCTGAATCGGAAATTCGTCAGTTGATTACTGTATTGACTGCGGAACATAAAAAACGGGCACAGTTGTATCGTTAGCTTCGAAACGAGAGATTGGAATCATATATAAGAAATCATAAGTTTCAATATTTTGTGAAACTAGTGGCACAGTAAAGCTCAGTGATGCAGCGTTAAAGTTGAAGCACATTCAAATGCATTACAGGATGATTTCAATAGCGATTCTGAAATTAAAAGTGTCAATTCTGCAAAGAAGATTGAATATAAGATGGTATAATGCACAGTATGGTTCCACCGTAGTATAATCCATATATATTTCATCATATAATATTTTCATTTTAGAAGTTGTGCCGAGTTTCATTCATCAAGATCTATCGAAATATCTCAGATTTCCAGAATGGCCCCACTGTTGAACATCCTAGGCTTAGTACTAAACGATACTGGGCTGGTTCGTGTTGTGGCAGGTATTAAATTAATAACAAATAGTCCAAGTTCCTTATTGATTATGCTACTGACCATCCATGTTTCATTTAATTAATTCTTCGATTCTAAATACTAAAACATGCATTTCTTTGCTAGTTGACCTCACCAGCTGTAAATATGAGATAATCTTTCAATGATTTCTCACTTAATTAGCCTCGTATTAGGCATGATTTCTATACAGAGCTTCATTACTTGTGCGCTCCCTGCCGGATTCATACACATCAAGATTTTTATTCGTTTTCTGTATAAAGCTGTAAAATTCACATGCTGCTTTAATCCCTCGATTTGCATTTTTCGGATAAAGCTGTAAGTGCCTGTGGTGAACTTTCCATCTTTCAGTGTTGCAAATTCCTCTTATAATAAGCAGAATTAGGCTTGTAGTTTTGTTTGTTTGTTTGTTTTATTTTGCAGAAGTCGCTTGAGTTTGAGATTCATGGGTTGCTTTTTGAGCTTGTTTTATCCTGAGGTCACTTATTTAATTAAGTTATTTTGTTATAACTGACTTCAACACACATCAAAACCGTTATAAAAGTGTGGTTTTGATGACTAACTGGGTTGATGAATAGAATATATCATTACAATTTTAGAATCGTCCTATCCCCACTCTTGTTCAGTTAAAGACATACCCATAATAGTGATCGTTTTGGGTCACCAACTCGGCATATTCTATGTAACAATTAAGCCATGCAAATTGTAGTTTTGAGGGTAAGCCATAAAAGCAGTTTTGCTGCTTGTATTGAACGTGGGTGCGATGTATTTATATTTTTGATCCTGTTTCTGTCTTATACAGAAATGCCTGAAAACTCTTCTCTATCCCAACAGCCTCAAGAAGCATTGTAATCGCAAAGGTAGAAGCTGGCTAATTTGCTAAAGCTCCAGCTATTTATTACAAAAAATACTAGAATATCTATACTTTGCTGTCCTATTTTAATTTCTCTGCTTACTTACTTGGAGAAAGTCAAAGTACTCACATACCACAGTTCCAAGCTGTTCTGCATTTTTGGTGAAGTTAAAGGTACAAATAATCAGATAAATTTTGTAAAAATATAAGGAAATTGCGATTTGAATAAAAATCTATTCATTAATAGTGTTACGTCTCTGGTCGTTTGTTAATTTTCCGTAGAAATTATTTCTGAGAAACTTCAGCAATACAAGTCCTTTCTTAAATAAATCTAGTTTATTCTTTCTCAACTCAACTTTGCAATACACTTAATTTCTCCAGTCAATTTAACTTAAACACATGCTATAATTCACAACGATTCACGCACTTTTTCTTATGGTCACTAACGCACTTGACTCAATTGTCCGTCTCTGGCTGTCTGCAATTCTATTCTCTGATTAATTAATTTCGCTTCATCTGGCGCACTTATATAAGGGTCGCGGGTTCGAATCCCCGTCCCACCAAAAAACATGCTCGCCCTTTCAGCCGTGGGGG